ACAATATGCGTCAGTGAATCGTTAGAGACAGAACAGAACACATAATTTGTTAAAATCATGATAATTTTAGCATATTAATATATGATCAACTTGATTATCAGATTGTTAAAATTTTGTCAAGTGCGTACCAAATATGCAAGGAGATTAGCAATACCTTTACTTCCATCAACATCTAGGGACCTCCATAGATGTGCGGTATGCCGTGTAGATAAGATTTTTTTTTTCTTTTTTCATAGGCATTCGTCTCCCTTTTCACCAATTTTTTCTTTCTGCAATCCATCGTTCTTTTAATAAAGTTTTGGTGTCATGCGTTTCCACTATGATGATTTCGATAGTAACTTTCTGAAAAAGTTTCGCTCGAATATTTGTTTCTTAAGTTTTCTCCTCCTTTAAATTACTTGATTTTCTTTTACTCTATAGCAAAATATTGTACTATATGAGTAATGACGAAAAGCAGAAAAGTGGTTTTCACACGGTTATTGACGTAAACTAAACTGACATAACTACAAAATGGACGAGCAAGAAAATTCCCAAGGTAACAAAAACAAGGAAGTTCAAACAAAGAACAGCAATTTGGAGAGGGAGGGAACATGGGAGATGGAAAAAGTAGTGTAATACGCCCTTTAGTTTAGCCTTGTCAAGATATGGTTTGGCTGTCTGAAAGTGCCTTTTATCTTCTGCCTTTTCAAAAAAAAAATTTTTCTTAATTTAACAATGGCTTGGTTTGTTTTAGTGTGTTTATTGTCTGAAAATTGTCTGCTCCTCCATTTCTAGCACAAATTCTTTTTTGGATGAGATCACTACATTTGTTGAAAAATAAAACGTTCATTGAACAACATGAATGCATTCACATACATAATGTTTAATGCGTTCGGGCTTTTGTCAGAGCTAACATGGAGAAAGCAACAATAGAATGTACCTAGAGGGGTGAAGGCAATGATCTTCAACTATCCAAAACCATCTTGAAATGTTAAATTTGATGATAGGTCTGTTGAGAAATTAATACGCACATGTAATATTCACACATAAAATAATAAGTTTAAATAAAAAATAAAAATAAATATATTTGTTTTGATTTAACTTAAAATGATTTATTTCAAATTTAATCTACTAACAAATAAATCTTTACAATTATAAGACTTTTGAAATAAAAAAATTACCATAAACTCTTTACTCAAAACTTAATCCTAAATCTAATAACACTCTTTTAATAACTTACTCACTTAGCTATTCTCTTGATGTCTAATTATCTGAGATTATCAAACTAAAAAAAAATCTTATTTATAAAAATAAAATCCCTTATAACTTTACTAAACTACCGATATGAAATACAAGACAAACTCAAACTCTTATAATTTCACTTAACTTTAGACGTGGGATTATGAGATTTAAGCAATCTCAACAAATCTTCTCTTGACTTGAATCTCCAAACACTTCAACAGTAATTCAATAGTATCTGTAAAGCTGACATACTTTTTTTCTTTTCTTTCGTCACAAGAATCCTAGCAACTGAGTCTCCATCAAGAATGTACAAGTGATTTTTGACCTTATTCCCTTATAGAATCACACTACTATTCTTGTACACTTTTAACCAATTATTACTAGCATAGTATGTGTATCCTCGAAAAGCTAACTAACCCAAAGCAAACAAATTATAGTTACAACTCGATATATACCTTACATGACAAAGTGTCTTAATAATATCACTGTAAGTTCTAAGGTGAACACTCCGAATATCTTAATTCTGCACTTTTTCATTGTTCGTAATCACAATATCTTCATACTTCTCATTTTCTTCCAACTCCACAAAGCAACTCTTATTATTATAGATATGGACTATAGCAATTGAATCTAAAACCCAACATTTATCTCATTTCAAAGTTTGAGTCTCATCTACATAAGTCATCAAAACGATATCATCATTATCAGACACAACAATAGCATTATCACTCTTTCCTTTATCCGATTTTTTCTTGTCATTCGTCCTTCTAAAAACGTCGTATCCTTTCTTAGCTTCTTGTAGCACACTTGGATATGTTCATTTTCACCACAATAATAACATTCTATGTCACTGTAATCTCTGTCTCTTGACTTGGATCTCCTTCTTGATCCATCAACCATCTTTTGAGTCTTCCCTTGATCAAAACCCTCTATAGCTAGTGTACTCATTCCAGATGATAAGTTTTGTATTCGCATAAACCTTTCATTCTCGACAATCACATCATCCAACTTTAAAATAGATCTACCTATCAATAAAGTCTGAATTAAATATCTATAAGACTTGGTCAAAGATGACAACAAAATTAAAACATTCTCTTCATTTTTAACTCATCAATAGAAATTGCTAGCAATTGAACAATTAACATATTAAGCTCATTCAAGTGATTGTGAAGACTCACACCTGCTTTTATCTTCAAAAAATACAGATTTATCTTTAAACATAATCTATTAGTCAAAGATTTCGATGCATAGAAACCCTCAAACTTATCCCACAAACTCTTCGGAGTACTTTCAATAAACACATTGTTTTTTACCTTTGGGGCTAGCACCAATCTAATAGTGTTAATAATTTTCTTTTGAATTTTATTTTAATTATTGTCAGACATTTTTTCAGGCTTACTACTCTCTAATGCTTGATCAAACCTTTATTGTACTAACAGATCTTGAATTGTATGTTACCTTAACATAAAATTACTCTTTATATCAAATAACGAAATCTTAAACATGTGCATAAGCATACTAGACATATCTTATTCAAAAATCTTAAAATACTTACTTCACAATTTCTTGGGCCTGCCTTTACTCTTTTCGAACCTCAAACCTCCCTTTGATATTACTTGTTAGAAAATTAATATACACACGTAATACCAACATACAAAATAGTAAGCTTAAATCAAGAACAAGAATAGATAAATATATTTATTTCAACCTAATTCAAAATGATCTATTTCAAACTCAATCTACTCACAAATAAATCTTTACAACTATGAAACTTTTAGAATGAAAAAAGTTACCAAAAATTACTTAAAATTTAACCCAAAATCTAATAACATCATTTTAATAATTTACTCACTTAACTATTTTTTTGGTATCTAACTATTTTAAATTATTAAATTAAAATCAAAGTAACTTATTTATAAAAATAAAATCTCTTATAATTTAACTAAATTCTTGATGTAGAATACAAGATAAATTCAAATTTTTATAACTTCATTTAACTTTAAACGTGAGATTACGATATTGAAAGCAGTAGTCAATTAAGCCAAAGTAATTTCATGTTTTCATCTGTTGTGGAAATGACAGAATGCTGCATCAGAATTTCGCAGTTGGTGTTCATTAGTTTCATTCTTTCAATTGAAAATGAGAAATAAGATTTGTCCTCATGATCAGTTAGCAGTCAATTTTCAACTGAAAATTCCACCGCCAAGTGAATCTCCGGAAGATTACCTTATCTTAGAAAACCATTTGACAGATTGACAGTCAAAAAGTAGAGTAGTCACACAGATTAATTGGAGCTTGGAAGTTGGAACCTATCAGGATCAGAGTAAACAACTCTTGTGTATCCCTGAAACTTTAACAAGGAAAGTCGGCTTTAGTTTCCATCATAGTTAAACATCCAAGCTGAGGTGGAAACCAAGCCCACATACGCAGCCCATAGGTAGGTGAAACACATATTTAATGATACCATGATCCCAGACGGTATTTCAAACTTCTTTCCTTGCCTAATAAATGACTGGAGAGTTATCATCTTTGACGAAACTGAGAGGGACAAATTGGCTATCAAATTAGAAGATAAAAAGACCGCTTTTTACACCTTGAATTCAACCTTACAACACATAAATACGTGTTTATGAGGTTGACAGATTGAAATGGCCTTTTCCGAAGGCGAAAAGAAGGCAGAAGTTTGGCTACTTATGGCTGCCTCTCTTGGAAAATATGTGAAAATAGATGAATTTGAAGTATCATGAATGAGTCATGGATGTCAAATTTCATACTGTTTTACCCAAACAAGGTAAAGCCATTAAACTATCCTACTTGCACAACTTTCAGATTACTTATATGATACTCCCTGAAAAGATTCTGAAAAATTATTGGACTACTTTTTGATATTCTCTAATTAATAATTCCAAAAACCATGAGATTGCTTTTTTGATATTCTCTAATGATTCCAAAAATTTGTGGAATGACACATTTGAATGTCCAGGATGCATGACTTGAATGTTTGATCCCCTCCGTTCTTTTCTCACCTCAACCATGGAAAAACTCTGAATTAATTGATTCAATCTTCAGACAATTTACTCCGGACCCTCCTTTGAAATCTGAATAGAATCTCAAAAGCAGAATTGCATAGTATCATTACATGTTTTGCTTTCAATTTTATCGAATTTTTTTAATAGAGACAAATATTCACATGTCACAACATATTTGCAACATCATGGCGAGTTGGTAATCACTTGTTTTATCAGAAAATCTGTGATACCTGAAACTAACCGGCCAAAGCTACTTCCAGGTTTCGTTTCCTTGTGGATCGTCTAGGCTTGTCCACAAGCCTGATGTGAAATTGTTCCGCGAAGCACATTTTGAGGGAATCCGTATTTCTTAGATAATATTGTTGGAAAGAAAGAAATCATCAGTGATCATGATACTTCCCTATCCAAGATGATCCATGAAACATGATGCTCCAAGGAATTTGGATCTTAAATTGTATCAAAGAAATCTTTAAAATTCATTATATCATTCCAATCAATTTGATATAAAAAAAATGTTTTGATCATGCAGCGAACATGTGTCTGTTCTTACTGTCTAAACTTGTAAATAAATTGAACACATACTCAGATCAGCCCCATAAGAAATTGAAAACTGTACTTAAAACATCAGATATAATCAATTATTTAATAATCATCATTGGTTACATGATAAAGTTGTGACGGCCAAACCCACACCATTTCTTAAACTAAACAAATCATTAAATAATTGTCATCAGGCATAGGCAACAGCAATAAAGGGCAAAAGAAAATGCACTTCCGTATAAACAAATAGAGATAAATTAACTCATCTACGTTGGCATTAGTAGGCGACAGTTGAAAAAGTTTACGTCGCCAACTAACCATTGTCTGTTCCTACAATTTATGTCTAAATCAATTGAGAATAAGCCTTCATCTAGCCAGCTCTTGCTCTTGATCACGCTCTTTCCTTCAAGATTCAGTGGGAAAAAGTAACTGGTGATGTAATATGTCTGTTTCTATATTTTGTATGTATACTGCAGTAGAGAAAAATCATAGTTTTTTGTTCTTCAAGTTGGAGAATTTTGGAGAAGGAAAATGTAAGATGATCGGATGTTTGGGTTGTGGCCAACTCTCGCTCTTCATCACTCAATTCCTTTCAGGTAGCAAATTGCTGAAGTTTGGAGGGACCCAATTGCGACATAGGAGGGAACACAAGGAAAATGGCCCCTAATGTTGTTGGTTAGCAGCTTGGCATTGTCAAAAGAGATGCGACAACTTCCATTTTGCCACTAAGGTGGTGATGGCACCGCCAATGAAAGCTGATGAAACAGGCCGGCAACCGGCTGAGCTGTCGACCGCCATAGGATTGGAGGACTTGACACTGCAAAACACTAATCAACATCATCAGCAGCTGAAATCCAACAAACAAATTTAAATGAAATTTCAATGTGATGATGATTGCATGTAGATAAATAGAGTACAGCATTTGCAGCATGGGACGGTGCTGATTTTTTAGATTTCAAGCATATGAAGATAAACATTAATTAAAATGGAACGTGCAGGCCACATCTGGGACTAAAGAATCAATGTTCCCCCATATGACTCCCGGCTGACTTAGTTAGGAACTCAAACGGTAAGAATAAAGAAATTTTAACAAAATTTGGGTCAACCATAATTTGTTTAATGCCATATCGCTCCAAGAAACTTCAATGACTGATTATAAATAAATTTAAGATACATGGAGAAGGGGGAAAACGTTCAAATTGAAATTGGTAAATTGACTGTAAAGATTATATGCATCTTTGGTGAAAAATAATCATATATAGGTATATGGTTCGTTTATTACCTGGTGGAAGGGGTAGGGCAGAAAGTAATAACATAATCAGCGCCAGCACAAGTGAAAGTACTGGTTCCATCATCATAGGCATAGCTATAAGCTGTAGGACACGCAGTCTTGAAGAATTGTGAGTAAGAACTGGGCTTGCACGTATTTGGAGTAGCATAAGTGCCACTGCAACAATATTGGGGGTCTCCAAAAGCATCGCATGCACTCTTACATGCCACCCCTTCACCCCCATCGACAACCTTAAGCTCAAGAGGACAGTCACCATTCAAATCTGCAGCACATCCAGCTGACGTACAGTTACCTCCAGTTCCACCATGTGGAGTTACCATCATTGGTAGATTGTATCCATCAACAAGGCTAACGTCATAGAAATCCAATCCCCCAAAACCATTTAGTGTAAACTCTGCAAGGGTGGCAGGAGGGATGGCACCAGCACCAGCGCATTCTAGTGTAGATGAGCCGCAGTCTCCAGTCAGGCAATAGAACTTGCCGGAGGAGTCTTCAGTGCAAAGAGTTCGACCCCATAAACGACCAGACCAAGATGTTGGAGCAGAGATAGATGTTGATTCGCCAGGTTGAAGAATGAAACCTGTGGGGGAAATTTGAGGGGTACCAGCTCCTGACAGCATCCCTGGCCAAACTGTATAGCTGCATTCGTTTACAATTGTAAATGTTGATGAATGAGCGCCTGTAAAAACAGGAAAACGAATATAAACCAACATCAACAGCAGAACAAATAAATAAATAAACAACAATGAGAAATAAATTGGTGAAAAAACTGTGACCTGAGAACAGCTGAAGGAAGAACGTGACCAACATAATCGAAAGCTGAAGAGTAGCCATCGAATAAGGAGGGAAGAAAGAAGAGAAATTCAAAAAAGACTGGGAACTAGATTAGCTAGCAGTGGGTGGGAAAAGATTTAGAGTGAGATGAGGCAGAGGCGGACTAAGAGTGTTTATATAGAAAGTATAGAGGTGAAAATTGTCTCCAAACCTTTAGCTTAGTAGTTAAAAGACGCTTGAAAAAACATTAAAGGCTTGATTTTCAACCAAGCCTTTTTCTTTTTCCTTACTTGTATTAAGATTTTGTTCTTCTAATATAATCAAAAAATAAATAGAAATAATTAAGATTTTGCTCTCCTGATATAATAAAAAAAAATAAAAGTGGAGATTGTGTATTAATATTGGAAGTATTTAACCTTACAAAAATAAAATAGATGTGGGTACCATGTGATATGTTATAGAAGAGATGTGCTGAGGCACATGCTCGACCTGCAAAGAGTAAAGTCGGCCATTAGTGTCCAATGCATTTCGTAATTTGCTTACTTAGGAAAAGCAACAAAAATTGCACTATAAGCCGACGTTAAAAACAGAAAAATAGATAAATATACAAATAGAAAACATCAATGATTAAATAGGCTTTTGGAAGTATTTATGAGGTGCATTGGGATTCTGTTCCTGCTACGAATTTCTTCCCCTTGGGGATATAGAAAGGACGGCTCCAAACTTAGATACAAATGGATCAAGAAAACAAAGGACAAAGTCCATCAGGCTTGCAATTTCAGACTATGATTTTGATACGTTATTTCAAATTATTTGAACAGATCAAACTTCAAAACAAGAATCAAGGAGTCTCGTGATTTTAACCTATGCAGTCAACATAATTTCATCTCGAACGTTTATATGCAAGTTGTCAGAAGTGGCCACCGACCAAGTTATCCAGGGGTAGGCAGGGGATGATAGTTGTGTAACTTGTTACCATAAAACTATTGGGTAACTGGAGAGTTTTGGGTGTAAATCTGAGTTGGATGAAGGACGTATAATATAGTTATCAGCCCAAATACAGCCGCAATTCTAGTAGCTAGCTGATGCCTATGGGCTTTCTTTGTCTACTTTGGAATATTATAAAAAGAAGGAAATATATAAAGAATAGGCAAGAGGTAAGCTCTGTTCAGCTCGCTTGACCTTGAACTGGGATTTTCATATAACGTGCGCATCAGGAAATGCGGCCCCTAAAAAGAGTGTATAAGGTTTCCATCAATATAAAACCTTTACTAACACGCAAAAGCAAGCAACTTGACGGTAATGATAAAACTTGATGTGCTAAATTAGTATTATCCTATTCGTGACCAATAGAAATAAACTGCGTTCGAATTGGTTTTTCATTTTTCCTTTTTTCATTTTGGTCTGAGTGTTCCAATGGGATTTAACAGCACAAATTATAGGTTCATTCTCGTCCATTAATCAAAGAATATAAACAGTAGACTACTGAAGAAACAGCGGTCAATTTCAAAGCAATATTCGTACTTTAAACAATCTCTAATAGCCTAGCCCGTTCTTTGAGGCATAGGTGCTTTTCTGAATTTTATTCTACCATTGATTTTGGGAGAAAATAATGAGAATTGAGAGCTTCACCGTCAAAAGGAAGCATGCCCCTTACCTGCATGTTACGCATAGATCAGCAATCCTCACGTGTTCTCGGATACCCTTGTCCGAAGTTGTAGATGAGCACACTCATGAAGCATTTAGAATGATTAACTGCTTGTATTACGAATAGCAGTTAATGGAATGGAAACATGAACATCCTTCCTTAAAAAGATTGGTAGAAAACTAAAACTTACAAGTATTTGATGCAATATCAATGACCAATGACTTAATACAGCTTTAAACAATTTTTATAAGATGGCAAGATCAGGTTTAGGACTGTTTAATCACTAGTAGTGCATCATATATAAACTATAAACTAAATTTTATCAAAGCCATCATATGTTAATCTTTTTGTTAAATTCATACCATAAAAAAAAGGACCTAAACATCTGTATTGAACAACACCAAACCAAACTGACCACCCACCATACCTATATCAAACATCTTTATCACCCTTTCCCCCCTCTGAGCATCAAAAGCACATTACCAACGCATATCACTACCACTACCTAGACAACATCAAAAACTCCAGCCGAAGCATCACAAAATTATTAAGACGTGCCAATAACCCTTGTAACATATACACCCACTTTGTACAGACAGCTAAGCTAAGAAAGTAGAAGCAACATTACTTACAATTTGGAACCAGCTTATCTAATAACTAGTCAATCACAATAAAGTCATAGCGTCCATACGATAAATTGCTCAAAACAGGCAGCTACAAAGCCTGGGGCAGGGCATAAACATCATGACTACAAGTCTACGACAAAACAAATTGAAATCAGGTTCATGCATAGATCCCTTGCATCAACAAGCTAGGGCAAGTTCAAAACTTATTCTTCAATAATTCCAATAAATATCAAATTCAGTAGTGATTACCAAATAAGAGGCAGGATGCGCCAGTATACATTCATGAAACAAAAATCCTAACGAGGACCAGCCTCAATCAAATTGACAACTATCATGACTATAGTTATTAAACCCCTAAAGAAAGGCCACAGTTCAATTTCCAATTATAATCTTTCTTTTTGAAAAGATATCATGGAGAGAGCTTACCATCAAAGGCAAAGACACATAAGTAAAGCAACAATAATTACTGCCCTTATACAAAAATAACCTAGAGTGCATTAAACTAAGTAGTAGAATTAGGAACCTAATAAGAAAAGATAAATGCTCAAAAGCATATTAAATACTACCAAATTTAGACTATAACTTCCATTAAAACATTTATGATTAATGCAGCATAATAAAAAGTTCAAAAGAAAATTTGCATCGGACGTGAGAATAGAAAAAACATTAATTCACACTTGAAAATAGACGCTGCTAAATTGATAGTTAATCCAAAGTCACTGACAACAATCGAAAATAACCAAAACAAAAAAAAAAAATCTAAATTCTTATCCGAACCAGCTCATCTATGTATAGCAACTGGAAAAATTCTCTCCTGGAAAAGGAAAAAAAAGCTGGATAATCCAAAACATCCTTACGTATAACTTCCAAAAAACAGAGAACCCCGAAAGATAGAAAAAGAGAAATATGTACTATTACTCTTTTTTTTTATCACATTCCCATTTAAGCAGAAGCCTTCAAGTTTGGACACTCCCTCGCAAAATGCCCTGCTTCGCCGCATTTAAAACATTCTGTTCCCTTGTTATTGTTACAGTCCCTCGCCAAATGCCCAAACCCTCCACACGTAAAACAGCCTCGGCTTCCGCCACCACCGCTACTGTTTCTATTACACTCTCTGGCAAAGTGCCCATATTTCCCACAGTTGTAACACTTCCCAGCTCCACCACCAGCAAAGCCGCTGCCATCTCTCCTACACTCCCTCGCAAAATGGCCCCCCTCACCGCAATTATAACAAAAAACCCCGCCGCCACTGCCATTGGGGACATTGTTGTAATTATCGTTATTGTCGTAATTAATAATGTTGTTACTGCAATCCCTGGCGAGATGATTCAAATCCCCACAGTTATAACACCCCCCGCTGCCGTTCCTCCGATCGTTTCCGCCCCTCCAACCGCCACCACCGCTGCGACGGTCCTTCTTTTTGATAGGAGAGCCACCGATTGCGGTTACTTCAACAGCCTGGGTCTTGCCGCCGTTGCCTTGGGAAACAGTAAACTCAACAGATTCGCCCTCGGCAAGGCTACGATAGCCGTCGGACTTGATTGAAGATTGATGGACGAAGAGATCTTCGCCACCATCGTCGGGATGAATAAAGCCGAAGCCTCTTTGGTCATCGAACCATAGGACCTTGCCGACGGATCTCGATTGCTGTTGTTCTTGCTGTTGCTCAGCCATTGATACGAGTAGAGATATTCGGGATCGTAAAGAAAGAGACTTTGGTTTATTAGGGTTTGGATAGAGTAGAGGAAGAAGAGGGGAATTTATAGAGAAAAAGAACCCTGGCCAAGGGCAAAGGCAAGCCTAATTGTTGGGTAATGCGCTCAGTTTTTTTTTCTATACAATTTTTTCAAAATTTTTTTAAGTAAAATTTCTTAAATACTTTTCTTACAAGTTTTATAATTTTTTAAAATATATTTTTAAAAAGTCATAATACTCTTTAAAAATGGATTTTTGAAAATCTAATGTATCTAATTTTTTTTCTTTACATATTTTTTATTTTTTCAAATTTTTTATAAATAAAATTTTTTAAATACTCTTATCACAAGTTTTATAATTTTTGAAAATTTATTTTAGAGAAATTATAAAACTTCTCAAAAAAATATTTTTGAAAATATTAAAAGTAAAATTTTATGAAAATTACAAAAAAAATTATTAAAATTATTTATAAATAAGTGTGATAAAAAAGTTGTTATTAAAAAATCATAAATTTGAAAATTAATAAAAAAATTATTTTATTATTTTCATCTCAAAGAAAAAACAATACTTTATGATACTCTAATTAAATTAAAGATTAAATAGTAAATATAATTTTTATAAATTTAAAATTTATTAATTTTTAATAAATATTTTTAATTTTTATAAATTAAAATGTTATCATTTTTTAATAAATATTTTTTTTATCGATAATTAAAATTTTATAATAGTTTTAATTAAATTAAATTTCTTAGAGAAGTCTTTCCATCTATTTATGATAATGGGTTTCTTTAATTAACATATTAAATTTTGATAAAATTATGTAATATTCAATAGTATTATTATATAATTTTAAGAAATTTTAACTCTTATATATTGATTAGACCTAATAATTCTTTCATCACCATTTATAACATCAACAGATAAAATATTTAATTAGAATCTCATTAGATTTTATTTTTTTCTAAAATTAAAATAGTAAAAATAATTTTTTATTAATTGTAAAATTTATGATTTTTTAATAATAAATTTTTATTACACTACGTTATAAATATTTTAACAAAATTTCTTTTTTTGTAATTTTTCATAAAATTTCACCAAAAATGATATAGTTTCTCAAAAATGCATTTTGAAAAGTGTTATGACTTTTTAAAAATAGTGAATATATATCCGAAAACTTATAAGAAAAATATTTAAATACTTTTACTTATAAAAAATTTAACAAGAATAGTGAGATGTAAAAGGAAAAAAAAGATAAGGTACATTTAGAAGTTCCCAAAACAAAACATTAATTATTAATTACTAATTACTAATTACTACTAGAATGTACTTTAACTTGTTTATTAAGAGAAGCTATCTTGATTTCTAATCAATTTTTTTTTTTTAAAAAAAAAAGAGATATTTGGGGGAAATATTTGATAGATTGCAATGTTAAAGTAATACATGACAAAGGTTTTTTGGTGTTTTTTTTTTTTTTTTACGTTTCTTTTGAGAAAAGTTCAATCTTTCATTGATCCCTTGAGCAAAATTGAATAATAAAATTTTTTTTTTTTCTAGAATTGGCACAAGAATCCCTCAAATTCAAGCATTGGATACAACTAAGAAAAAAAAAAGGTTCCTTTGAAAGTTGGAATAGAAATAATGAAAAGTATGGTTGCTTGTTTAGTAGGTGCACAAGTAACAAAGAGATGTAGGACTTGTGTACATCATTTATCTTACCATAAAAAGGGATTAGTTGTTACATTGATGTAGGACGGATCACCTTTTAAAATGGAAGGTTGATGATCAAAAATTAAAAAAAAATTATTTTGGTTAAAATAATAAAAAGTTTTTAAACTTTATCACTTTACTTAAATAAACCTTTATATTTTTATTGTATCTAAATAAGCTCTCAACTTTTAATTTGCACTCAAATAAGCCCTTACGTTATGTTTGGATACATATAAATAAAGGAAAGGAAATGAAAGAAAATGAAATGAAATGAAAGTTTTTTAAAGGAAAGAAAATGGTACATGTACTATTTGTTTGAATAGTTAAAATTAATAAAGGAAAGGAAAGAAAAAGAAAGAAATTCTAACAAACATTATTTGGATAAATAGTGAAAATGAAAGGAAATGATTCATTATAATATTTTTTCAATTATAAACTTTTTTTTATAAAGTAACATATAATATACAAATATATTTTTATATTACTTAACTTGTATAAACAAGTCTTTTTAAACAAAATTGAACACGCTTAATATAGTAAAATATATTAGCTAGTTATTGATTTACTCTTAATTCTATGTTTAATTCAATATTTTAATTTATTCTAATAATAATTTGGCTTATTTTGTTGTTAAGAATTAAAAAATCATAAAATATTTTATAAACTATGATATTATATAAAATACTAATAACAAAATTTATTTTTATAGAAAGTATCAGTTATATAATCAAATATAATATCATAATAAAAATATAAATATAATAATCTTTTTATAAAGATAAATTTTTTTTCAACCTTTCTTTTCTTAGCTTTTTCCTCAAATTGTGGTATTAAAAAGGTAAGGATTATAAGGAAAATCAAAAGATATTGAGTTTTCATTTCTTTACTTTTTAAAAAAAAATTAAAAATTTATCTAAACAAAGGAATGATTTTTCTGTTTCATTACTTTCCTTTATTTTCTTTTCTTTTTGTTTCCTTCCCCTTAATCCAAACATAGTGTTAATTTTTAATTTGTATTCAAATAAATTTTTAATTTTTAAATTGGAACAAATAAGTCCTTAACATAATACATAATACATGTAAGACATTAATTTATCACGATCACAAATGCTTGAAGTAAAATTTTTACTCACATAAAAAGTAAAATTTTACATGATTTAAAAAGAACGAGAAACAAAATTTCAATAATTAGTTTGAAATAAGAGTTTATTTGGATACAAATCAAAATATGAGAACTTGGTGCAATTAAAGAATAAAATACTTATTTAAGTAAAATGATCAAGTTCAAGAGTATTTTTAGTATTTTGACCAAATTCTAAACATTTTTTTAACAAAAATAGCAAATATATAGATAATTTTTTATTTTTTTTGGTAAAAAAAATTAGGAGATAGATAGGTTACTTAGTTTCCGAGGTCAAGGCAAGATGTGTCGTATCTGACAACTTAAGATAAGTGGTTGCAGATCGTGCATTCGAGACGACCTAAACAAGTGATGACCAATAAGACTCGAATCCAAAACTTCTTCGTCGATGAAGACGAACCTTAATCGATTGAACTAACCACTTATTGGTAATTTTTTATATATATTATAAGATGATACTAAAAAATTTTTTAAATCATTAACGAAAAGCCTTGTTAATCTTGTAATTATGATTTGTACCTATTTCATGATTAAAATATTGGCATTTTAAAACCAATGATTATATATATATATATATATAATTATGGATACCTGCGTTGTTGCAAGTCAAAATTTTTTTATTTTGTCATATTTATTCATTAGTTTTTTTAACAAAATTTATCTAATTAAAAAAATAAAATAAAAAGATAAAAAAGATTAAATAAATGTGGCACATAAATACTTAAATTGATCGTTTATTGTTAAAGATATATATCTAATAAAAAATAAAATTGCAAAAAAAATAAAAAGTATGAAAACAAAAAAATAAAAATAAAAATAGAGCTTATAAAAGGTGCTATATGAACATTTTAGTTGAGTTTAAAATATTAATTTCTTAAATTAAAATATCAAATAATAATTTTATTAATATAATACATATATAAATATAAGATTAAAATCATAATAAAATATATATTTTTATATCCCCTTAAACAAGTCATAACAAAACATCATAAACACGCTTTCCGTCGATCTTATATCTTATAAAAAACTTAACCCATTCTAATTTTATCTTGATTTAAAAAAATTTATTGTAAAATATATCTAATTAAAATATAAAAAAAGAAAAAATAATCAAATTTGGGTACCACGTTGACATCTTTATTAGTTTCTTTTTTTAAACAAAATTAATTTAACAAAAAATGTATAAAAATAAAAAAGGAAAAATCTAAAAAAATAAAAAAAGAAAAACAAAAGGAAAAGGAAAAAATATCTTTATTAAATCAAGTCAAATCAAAACTTATCGGATAAGAATTGTTTTTCATTCCTATTCATCAACTCCATTTGTTGCAAATTTTATATAATTAAAAATAGAACGAAAGAAAAAAAGATGAATTAAGATGCCGTGTGGATGTACATATCCATTGAATTTTTTTAACAAATGTATCTAAATTCAAAACAAAAAAATTTAAAAATATTTGACAAAAAAAAAGAAAAAAAACGTAAAAAAAAGAAGAAAGTATCTCGTTGTCACCTTAAATGAAAGTTAAACAAAAATCAAAATTAGCAAAATTTATATAATAGGCTTATTGATTGTGTCTTAATTCCATATAAATATAATATTTTTATTCAATTAAAATATTAAATAATAACTTTATTAATATAATAATATATAAATATAAAACATAATAAATAATTAAAAATATAATTATATATATACTGAAATAAGACGAGTTTAAACTCGCTTATGATTCGACTATGATTTTAAAAAGGAAACACCTTGACCCAATTTTGGATTTTTCAAAAAGTTGCGCATATTGGATTGAGTTGAATAAAACTTATAAAATATAAGTTATTTTATCATTTCTAAATCCATTGATTTTTTTTTTATAAAATCTATCTAAATTAAAGAAATCAAAAACTTTTTTAAAAAAACAAAAAAGAGAAAAAAAACCAAATGGAGATTACATATGAATTTATTAAATTAAAATATTAAATAATAATTTTATTAATTAATACATATATGTAAATACAAAATTACATAAATGATAAAACATGTACTTATATATTATTCGAGCAAGACAAAACATTCTAAGCTCATATTTGACTTGACTTCAATTTAACAAAAAAAAACTCATTTTTGATCTGAAATAATAAAAAAAAAGCATATTTTGAGTTTAGATGAATCAAAACCTATTGAATATAAAATTATTTTATCATACATATTTTCATTGATATTTTTTAAAAAATTGCTTACCTATTTTTGGGTACAATCTAATTTAAAAATAAAAAATAAAAAAGTGAAAGAAAAAATACGAAATAGGATGTGAATACATTCAATGGTTTTTTTTCAAAAAAGATTTAACTTAAAAAAATAAAAAAGGAAGAAAAAATTTAAAAAAAGGAAAAAGGGAAAGATGAAAAGCAAAAATATAAAAAATAAAAGAAAGTTAAGTTGTCACATAATATTAGCAATAATAAGTTTTTTTTTTAAATTTATATTATGAAGTTAAAAAACAAAAAGCTAAAAAAAAACTAAAAAAAAATTGAAAAAAATTAAATCCGAATGTGATATAAACATCTGGGTTGATATTCTTTTTTTTTTTTAATTATCAAATTAAAAAAATAACAAAAAATATATTTTTAAAAATAATATCAAATAAATCCCATATTAAAAATTAAAATATTTGAAAATATTTATTAAATTTAAAAATAAAAAAATAAATTAAAAAAAAGAGTAAAAAAGAATCAAATGACTTGACACGTGGAATACTATTGATATCAAATAGATCTTATAGAATAAATTAAAATCTAAAAAATTATTTATTAAATATATAAAAAATATAAAATGTAAAAGAAAAAAGTGATATACTCTTGACATTAAGTGAATCTTACACAGAAGAATTTAAAATCTAAAAAAATATTTATTAATTTTTTTGAAAAAAAAATGTAAAAAAGGGCCAAAAAGAAAAAAAAGAAAAAAAGAAAAATTTGATATAAGTGGATTACATACACAAAAACTAAAATCTTTAAAAATATATATTTATTTTTTTATAATTAAAAAAATTAATTAAATATAAAAAATTATAAAAAAGTGAAGCAAGAGTGTGCCAGATGACAATCCAAAATCATTCCGTACATTACCAAAATTAATAGAATGGATAGCAAAAGAATCCATAATGTTGGAAGATGACAAAACAAACACTCTGACTCGAGTTAGGTCCTTTGAAAGATATACAACCCAAAGATTGACAAGGACTAAAAAAACACACTACCAATGCTAACTCCACAATTTATATAAGACAAATGTTCATAAGAATAAGCAGGTGAAATTGAAGTTTGATGAAATTCATGAGGTTGGCTATAAAATACCGTTTGTTTCATTAATGTAGGCTCAAAATAATACATGAAAAAACAAAAAAAAAGAAAAGAAAGAAAGAGACACTCCCTATCTACATAATGCAGTGGAAATCCTGATAGGATGGATGGCTGCTCAAAAAAGAGGGGAAAAAAAAAAGGGATGTGGTGGGGGTTGATTGTACATGTAATCCACAGTTAGTAGACTTCCACATTCCATTGCTCAGATTTCTTCAACTGCCTTTTATACTCAGTCCAATCAATACCTGAAAAATTGTGCAAATACAGCATTAGACGAATATAATACATGGAAATTATTCAAAAACTAGTCTTTGTGAAAATTTGGGCTTTTTCTTTTTAACCATCTGCTGCAGCAAGTGACGCCATTATGTCATCAATCCCCTTCTCCATTCCCTTCAAACCACACATGTAGACATATGTGTTATCTTTCTTGAGTAACTCCCATAGCTCTTTTGCGTATTGAGCCATTCGGGTCTGAATGTACATCTTTTCTCCTTTCTCGTTAGTTTGTTCTCTGCTCACAGCAAAGTCCAGCCTGAAGTTGTCAGGGTATTTCTGCTTCATTTTCTCAAATTCCTGTTACATAACATTTGATATTTCAGTGAAAATCTCGACAAGAAAAATCAGCATCTCCTTCTTGAAAGTTAAGAGGCAAAGCATCAGAATTAGATCAGTCAAGAATCTTTTTTCTAGCTTGCCTACCTCCTTGTACAACAGTGAGCTACTTGTAGGAACACCGAGGAAGAGCCATGCCAAACCATTGAACTACAGAGCATGTCAGAAGTTAAGTCACTCATCAGTACAACAACTCTATCTACTTGGTTCAGGAATTATTCATGTTTGCTTCCTGGTCGTGGAGATCAATGGCTATTTATCTTTTATGTTATAACAGGCTTCCTTGCTTACAACAACATATTATGGATGTATTAATATAAAGATCATGATTGTTTTCACTATTAAATTGGTTGTATTATTTTCTATGTGACACATTGAACTATTGAATAACTAGCAATAAGACCTTTCGGAGGAAGAAAAAAAAAAAAAAAAACCTTTCATTCTACCTTGTAGTCGTCATGCTTCTCAAAGAACATTTTCCACAAAAATGATCGAAAGGGAGCGATTCCAGTTCCAGTAGCAAGCTGAGTGTGAAAATGTTGTTTTGGAGCAGCACTTGGTCAACATCCAATCAATGCCTGATAATTAAATAGTAGTGTTAACAGCTTGGTAATATACAAACCATGACGATTGTGGCATTGGGATCTTTTGGCATAAGCATTTCCTTTCCAACAGGTCCTGTGATATTAACTTCGGCCCCAGGTTTCAAATCGCCTGAAAGATAAGATTAAAAAACATTTAGCATCAGTAGTGTAAATCAATTCTGGATTCCTCCAGAATGCTACTTCTACCTTTTTCAAAACTCTTTGAGTTAATAATACTTATAAGTGATATGTTACTAATGGTTTCCGAATTATAGTGAAATGTTTAGTGTGATACTAAACTTTACAAATTTTTAATATAATACTTAAATTATGAATCTATTACTTAATGTGGTATTTTGAGGGTTATTTGTATGTCACATGTCACTATTTGGAGCTAACCACGGTAAAGCTAAGTGTCACATTAATTAATAAATTTATAATTTAAATGTTACATTAGAGATTTTTAAAATTCATTTGCCACACTGAATATTTCGCTATAGTTCAAAGGCATTCGCAACATTAACCCTACTAACTATAATGGGACATTAAAATCTTTTGACATGAGTTGTTTAAAACAATAGAATATATTATGATGAAACATAAAGTCATGCATTCTTACACAAGAAATTTGAGCAGACCCCTTTGACAAGTTCTCCTTTTTCGTTGGTGTATACCAGCCGTTTCACACATAGGGATACCTGCAAAAATACAATGAGATCATACCAAAAACCAAAAATTTTAAAAATGTAAAAAACAAACAAAAACCAGCAGAACATGCCAATGGTTTATAGACTTGGGTAACTCAAAGCCTATTATAGATATCAAGCACTTGATTTACATCTTATTGTGAAATGAAAATGAAAATTTGAATATGAATCATTATCCTATAGAAGGCAAACGCACAGTTTTGGAGTCCCCAAAATCACCAAGAGCACTGCTAGCAATAGAGTATAATCTCAGCTTGTGAGGTTTCCCATTCTTGTCAAGGCCATCTGGAATCACCCCAATGGATTGCCCTTCTCTGTAAGGAACCTCTCCTGATCCAATCCAACCAACCAGTGATCAGCCAAGAAGGAAGAGTATTTTTCGCTTCAGCTAATTAATTATGTCAAGAATAGCAAACCTTTTTATTACTTGATCACCAAAAATTGAACATAAAAGTTGGCAAATGAGCATAATACTTAAGAATTGTAGATAATATCATAGCTACGCAAGTAGCACTACAGGAATGGGAATAATCCCCATTAGCATTGGATCTGTGATCAGCATATTATCAGGAATTCAACAACAATATTTTAGCAAATTCTTGCCTGCTTATTTGATTTTGAATTGAATTTGAACATTTTAACTCATGTATTAAATATTAATACTCACACATTGGTGCACAAAAAACTCCATCACCCTAAAAAAAAAAAATCATCCAATATTTTCTCATATTCTTTACACATATGCAAGTGCAAATGTCTTGAAGAATTTAATTTAGCAGATGAATACAGCAGATAGTTTGCATACCCTCACTGCTGAAGACCATGTGCCAAGTCTCTCCAGGAGCATCATCACCGGTGATCTTAGTGTTTAGAAGGCATCTGCCAATGTAAGGGTTCTTTGGCTTGAACTTATTAACGACAACACCTTCCTCATTTTTCTTGGATTCCTTTACAACTTTAGCGGGAGCTTCAGTTGTAACCTGGGCTCTGACAGAAAGCACTCTTCCTCCACTGGAAACATCTCTGTAGTAAACAGGAACCTGAAGAACAAAAAAGCATCTGATCAACTTCGAACATGTATGATAGTTTCACATATATACCATATCATAATTACAATATGAGAGGTTTTTACTTTCTTGAAGGTGATTCTTTCAGGAGAGATGATAGAGGTTCGAGTAGGAAGAGAGGCGGACTTGGTAGAAGGAAAAGAGACTGCAGCAGTTACAGCAGCCATGTTTTTCGATAATGAAGAAAGAAGAAGAAAATGTTATTTGATGGATTGTTGGTGAAGCAATGATGAGGATAGGAAATCAAAAAAAGGATGTGATTTTTTTTTCCGTCTTTGGTTTGGATTATGAATTGGGTGGAGGAGATTTGAAGGCCAATGCAGAGGCCCCGATGAGGATAAGTCCCTGTGTAAAAATGTACGACTCTCACACCACCATATGCATAAAGACTCCTTCTACCCTATTCCTTTTCGTTGATTCACCATGTGATAATGAAATGGTGCTAAATTTACCATTTGTAGATGGTTGTATCAATTTTGATTGGGGTTTCATGTTTTCCAACAAAATATTCTCAGTAATATTAGTAACATGGTGCACATCACCATGGGAATTTATTTTTGGTGAAATTTTGGCCACTTTTGATTCCAAAGGAATGCATTATGCATCCACATTCAAAATGAATTGGAGGATGGAATAGGGGATCCAAAGATGACTTCGGACTATCTATCCCAGTCCATGGCAAGTCGTCAGCCCACTTTAGAATTCCAATTAGTGGTTCTGCCATTAGAGAAGTCCAGCTTTGATTAGAATCACAGTTATAGCCCACTTTATCCATGGACATGTTGTTAGCCCAGTTAAAAGTAAGGACATAGTTTTATCAGAATCACATCTATCTCAATCCATTGCCCAGTAGTTAGCCCATTTACAAAACCCAATTAGAATCAGATTTTTTTAGCTCACTCAATTTAATACGTAAGTCCAGTAAGTTGGATTGTAGCCTACTCAATCCATCAGTAAAACTGTCGGCCAATTTCACAAGTCCAGTCAGCTTAGTCTGACTAGAAATCCACTTTATAGCCCAATTAATAACTTCAATTGTTCCGATTAAAACCCATATCATTAGAAATCCATTTGTTTCACACTGCCCCTTAGTCCTTTCCAAATTCTTATCACATTTTTCACGGTTTGAAAATAATGAAAAGAATTGAAAATATTAAAATTTAAATTCTAAAATTATTAAATATTAATTTTTATAAATAACTGTATAAATAAATTAAATTAAGTTACGAATTTAAATAAGTATATTTTTAATTATTAAAGTAAGTAAATAAAAACAATTTAGATGCATATGAAAATTAACTTTTCCTGTTTCGAAGTGTCATTGAATCTTTCTCTATTAGCTCGTGAATATATATATTTTATATAAAGGTTATAGTTTGAGATAAAAAAAGGATTACGGGTGTTAAAATTTAAATTTATTTAAAATTTTAAAAAATTAAATATAAAAGTAACTCATTTGATACTTAAAAAATAAAATTATCAATTTAATTTTTTAATTTTTATTTCATTATCAATATTTGAGATTAACGTTGTTAATAAATTTTAGTGACGTAGCATAAACATCTAATAGAATGTTGACATTGTCAAAAAATTCAATTAATACCATATCATCAATGTTACATCAATATAAATAATTTTTTTTAAATTTTAATTAATAAATTTGAAATTTTTTTGAAAATTTTAAAAAATAAAAAAAATTTAATTCAAAAAAATTTAAAAAGTTTAAAAAATTCTTTAAAAAATTCTAAAATAAAATTAAAGAAACTTCAAAATTTTAAAAAAATCTCAAAACTTAAAAAAAAATTCACAAAACTTAAAATATTTAAAATAAAAAAATCTAAATTTTTTTGAAAAAATCTATAAATTTTTAAAAAATTGTAAAAAATTTCTAAAAAGTTCTGAAAATTTTCATTTTTTTGAATCTTACAATTTTTATTTTTTATATATATTTTGATTTATTCAAAATTTTTTATTTTTTTGTATTTTTATTAAAATTTTAAGTTTTGTATTTTGTATTTTCAATTTTTTTAAAATTTTTAGAATGTTTTAGACTTTTGAAATTATTTAATTTTGCAAAAATTTTAAAATAGTTTTAGAATTTTTCAAAAATTTTTAGATTTTTCAAAATTTTTAGATTTTTTAAAATTTTCAAAAATTTCCCAAAAAATTTTTTTTCAATTTTCAGTTTTTTTTTTTAATTTTTGTAGTTTAGAATTTTTCAAAAATTTTAAGAAATGTTTTGAATTTATTAAAATTTTTTATAAATTTTAAAATATTTTAGAAATTTGGAAAATTTTTAGATTGTTTAAGAAAAATTTTTTAGATTTTAAAAATTTTTTTAGAAATTCTTTGATGATCTTGCGGTGACTAAATTTTTTTACACTTATCAACATCTTATTAGATGTTATATAATGTTAACAAAATTAACTAATGATAATAATTTTAATTACCAACTTGATAATCAAATGAAAATTGTAATACCAAATTGACAAATTTATTTATTTAGATATCATATTGATAGAAAGCATATAATTCAAAATTCATTTTAATATTTAACTCAATTTTAAACTTATGGAATGTCAACACTTAATATCTAACTTTTATTAAATTAAATTTTCTTTAAAATTACCCAAAATTTAGTTTTCTCAAATAAAAAAACTGCAAAAGCTATTGCAAAAGACAGAAGCAAACAAGCACATAATCACCTTTTACTGCGGGATGGATGTATGATTGACAACTTCGATCAGATAAAATACAAAATTAATGCAAATAACGGAAGTTAGTGGATAGATGTGGATGGTGAGGGCCTAGTTGACCTGTTTTACAGGGAAGCTGCACCGTGAATCTTTTTTATAGTTGATTAGAGTCAATTAATTTATCATTTTCAGTGGAGTTATGAAGATGTTACATTCAACTGCTCTAGAAATGGGATATGCCTCTCTCTTCCAATCTTAATTATCACTAAACTAAGATTAGTCCGTATCTGTTTTCTTGGAGGAAGCATTTAGATTAAACTCTTATCAGTGCTACTAATTTCATGTCTTGTTAAAACGCATGCACCAATTATGTCAAAATGCAGACTTTTGTCAGCAGTTATTATTATGGGGCTAAACCCAGTGTGGTTTTTTTTTTTTTTTTTCTCTCTTTTTATTTGAAGTTGTCGGAAGTTAAACGATGATAATAAGAATTAAGAGTTGAAGATCACACGTCTCTTGTTCTAAACCCAAAATTTTGGGGCTAAAAGAGTGATTGAAATATGTATACCACAGAAGGTGTTATACTTTTGGCATTTGCCCATGATATAAAGCATGATTTCTTCGGGCACTGATGTAGAAGGATTGCAGGACTTGGGTTTGATTCTTCGCTTGCAACACAATCAACCATTAAAGAAATAGGGCATCACCAAATCAAAGTGCTCCATATATATGTAATGATGATGGTAACAATTTTCGAGATTATTGGTAGGCCACAGCAATAATATTCGTATGGGTGACATCTTGGCGGTCTATGACATTTAGAAGGACAAATTTCCTCAAGTTAAAAAATTTCAATCATTCAAAAAAAAAAAAAAAAGATGAATTCCCTTAAAGTGATGTCAGAGCTCATTTATTTATGTGAAGGAGATTAGCATGTGCATCTTACAATTTAAAGTGATGCGTGTTCATGTGAATCTCTGGGGTTAGCACACTCACTTTCCAAACTCAAAAGTGTATCTTCAAAGATACAATTCAATCTCAATTACCGACATTTTAAAAAGAAAGAATGTCATCACAAAGGAGACAAAAATAGCAAAGACAGATTGCTTGGAGACAAAGAATCGTGCAATGCACTTTCAACACTGAAATGCCACCACTCCCATGTTTCAGCACAAAAGGCAAACTTTCCATCTGCAAACATTGCATTATAGGAAAAGCAAAATAAAGCAAATATCATCAGTTCCGGTTTTGTTGACCATCATTTTTCAGTAATGTCAACTCATGCTTAGTGTGTGGATATCTTCTTAATTTTCTCTGTTTGTATGAATTTCAACTAATCTAAAACGTGGGGATTCTTATTATTCTTTCCCCCTTTCCTGGATCGCAAACTGAAATTGACTATACAGTGGTTCTTCTGGGTGGATTTGACAAGTATATGGATATTTCTCCACTTGAAATTGTTAATAAAGTAGAAATAGAAAAAAAGAAAAGAAAAGAAAGGAAAAGGATTCTTCTCATGTGAGCACAAGTTACCGATTCTTAATTTGCTCCTAAACACTTGCTATAAAGTATAAATGCAGCAGAATCACCATCATGTAGGTGGCAACCAAGGTAGGTAATTTGTAGTTTGATGATGGAATCAGATGACAAGACCAAGAAAAGTAGTAGTAAGCCAGAGCAGGTGGTTTGAAAGAGTCCAAGCCCTCTGAGGTCTGAGGTTGAATGATTCTTTTATGGCCGTTAGAAACCACAAAAAAACTTTCAGGTCAATAAAACTTATTACTTCACCTCCAAATCGAGATCATAAGCAATCTTTCCAGGCAACTTTCCCCCACCCTATCTCATTTCTAGCTGTTCCAACCAAGATGTCAGCAACCTATCAAGGATCAATTATGCAAACTGAATTCTTTTTGAAAAATATAATAAATAATATTTAATTTATAAACCAACAGACAGTTGTGATTCTGAAGGGGAAGCAATTCCAAAATAACAAAAAAAGAAGTGGAATACATGATATAACCCGATAAATATCATGAACTCCTTTCTGGTCATGCAACTCAAGGCAATAGGTGAGGACACAAAAAAGAAGCAGCAACTCTGCAAATGAGTGAAAATACTTATGATCAACCATGGAAGACCTCTAACTGTATGTACACTCCATTAGAATGATGAATTCGAAAGAAAATGAAAGTATATATTTCTAAACAAGAAATTACAATGGAAAAGCGATTGAATCAATGAAATCCCCTTGAACCTCTGGACTGATACAGCTCCAATCTACTTTTGGCCTCTTGTAGAAGTGTGTCCACTGTTTCATCGTGGGTCATGCAGGATTGCTTGGATGCCCATTCCAGAACTGTAAGCACTTGAGCTTGGGCAAGTTCTTCGCTATCCGGTACATGGAGGGCAATGTAGCATAGGAGAAGTAATGCTGAGACTTGAACAATTTGTTCCCCAAAATACACTAGCTGAATCAAATACTTTGCACCTCCTGCACTAATAATTGCCTTGGAGTGATCAACGTGTAGATAGTTCTCTTTGCAAGCAAACTTGGTAAGTGCTATTGCAGCCTCCTTAGAAACTTCAGCTTCCCTCTCATCGAGAAGTTTAACCAATGGGGAAATCATCCTTGTTTCCGTTGCTCTAAACGTCCTTGCCAAATTACCAATAGCCTTCATACAAGGAATGAGCAGCTCAGAATCAGCCTTCTCAATTATGTTCAACAGCTGATCGACGACGAGCTTACAAGCATGAGAATTCGGCTTAAATGCAAACCTTCTCAAATCAGTATCCTGCTCTGCCACAGCTGTAATCTCCATCAATGCCATAGCTGAATTAAACTGCACATCATCAGTTCCTTTTTCTAACAAAACCGCCAAACATAGCAGTGCTCTAGACTCAGTAATACTCCGACAAATAGAAGAATTCCCCTTAGCAAGATGCCATAAAGCTCTAGCTGCCATTGCTTTCATATAAGCCTTGGTAGAAGGATCTTCCAATTCCCTTCCCTTAATATTCGTCCCGGCAATTGAACCATTCTGCTGATGTTGATAATAAACTTGATGAACTTGCTTGACATTGCCCTGACTATTACTGCTAACATGATTATTACTCGGCTTTTGTGGCAATTTCACCCCTTCTTTCATTGCCATAGTATTCATAACCACGTTATGCATCCGATTAGGCGTTTCCGTCCCCATAGGATGCGTAATCTGACTCTGATGATCTTCATCAACAACATTTTCCACATTATTCACATTCGAATTATTACTACTCGCCATAACCACCGCGTGGATTGACGTCGCCTTGTTACTAGCAATTGCATATTTGCTATGTTCTTGAATCGTTTCAAACGCCAAATGACTAACGAGTAATCGGATTATATTATGCTGAGCAAATAAATCTTGACATTTTGGATAATTAGCTGCCAGCTCAGACACCGCCCACGCCGTTACGGCTTGAACTTTCATCGGACCTTCTTTAAGGATTTTCGCAAACACCGTGCAAGCACCAGCGAGGATCATATGCTCGACGCTTTCAGGGTCCCGACCCAGAAGTCCAATTGCTTTGGCGGCGTTTTCTTGACCTTCCACTTTCCCTTCTTTGACTAATTTCAACAACGGTCCAACCCCTCCTTCTTCTATAATCAGTTTCCCGTACCGATCATTGTCTCTGGCTAGCGAAACAAGCGAAGCAGCCGCGTCGGACCGGACGTCGAGTGAACCGGTGTAAAGAATCGCGATTTGTTCCCAAATTAGGCATAAAATCGGCTCGTTTGCAGCGATCGGAGGAAGGCCTAGGTACTCATCGTCGCGATCGTCAGCCGAAGCTGAAACACGGAGAAGCCAAGAAACATCGCCGATTGAGTTCTCGAGCTGAGAAGACATTTTACGGAAAGCGGCAGCGGGAATGATTGTGAACAGGCGCTTCATAAGGCCATTGGCACGGCATTTGAGGACCAAAGAGAGAGCTTTATCGAGCACTTGTTCGGTATCATCGATTATGCGGCGCGTGGGACGTTCGTAAAGGTCGGAACTCGCACGCGCCGCTTGTCGGAGTAAGCCAGCGAGTTTCTCTGCCTTGGACTTAAGCTCCGCACACTCTTGCTTAAACGAACTTGCTTCGTCCGCCGCTTTCATTACTTGGTCTGCTAACTGAATCGGCTTTGCCAAGATTTGCTTCACTATATCCGCCATCACAACAACCAAAAAAATACCAAAAACAAAACTAAAATACGTAAACTTGATCAGATCAAAAAATAAATAAACAAAATTGAAGAGAAAAGGGTTGATCTTTATTGAGTCTTTGGCCTTTGGGAGTTTCTTGTAAAAGGCTTGATAAGCGGAGGAAATGAAGGAAGAAAAGGAGTAGTTAAAGTTGTCTGATTAAGGGAAGTTTTGCGGAGTTAATTGCTACTTTTCGGTGCTATGGGGATTTTGGTTGAGGACGCGTGAGAAAGAAAAACAAGAAAAGGGTCTTTCACCATACATGGGAGACGAGTTTACAAGGTCAAACACGTTTTCATCTGCTTCTTTATAACATTTCTGGGTGCTTCTACTATTGTTTATATATATGAAAAATAGTTGAATTTACAATTGAGAAAATGCATCGATAATAAAAATAGTTGCTTTATTAGCCATGAAGGTGACAGCTATAACCCCCAAGCGCTATGCAATTATTATGCAAAATGAAAGATGCAACTTGAGTTGGGGCCATTGCCAGCAGAAATTGGACAGTGCAATGCAAAATATTAGGTAAATGGATTTCCAGCTACCTTTGAAACCTTCTACGGTTCATTTTAGTAACATCTTTTTATCTTTTCTTGAATTCTTGATATTTTGATTTAGCATTTTACACTTTAGATCCTTAGTACTTGTTTGCTGTATTTTCATACCAGTGCAAATAGGAATTCAAGATAAAAATTTTCACCCTTTTCAATGGCTATTAAAAATATGTTTCAAACAAAATAAAATTAATTGGGCAGAATAGTATCCGATACATCATAAGTGTATGAATGTATGCGCTTAACCATGTCATTCAATCATATGCTTGGATATAATAAAGAAAATAGAAGTTAACAATGAATTTATAAAGGTTAGTAAATAAACAAAAAAGTTTGATTTACATAAAAAAATAAATGTAAAATGAATCAACAAGTTCAAGAAAACATTTTAATCTTTTTTAATATGTACTAGTAAAACATTTTCAACTTCGACTTTATTTTCAATCAAGATCAGATTAACTATATATTTTACTTTCATATATTTTCAATCTGCTGATTTTAATATTGTTCCATATAAACACTATCATGTAAGCATCGATTCATTTACTATTCATGTTATATATGATTTTTATTTTTACCATGTAATCATCATTCATTTACTATGTCAAATATTATATTTCTTTGACTATAGGTGACTGTATTTTTACTATTCATGAACTTAAGTATTCATAAATTTATAATATTCATAAACTTAATTAATTGTAGATAAAATGTACTTTTTCTTTTGTGTTAATTAAATTTTGAGGCTACATTCATATTTACTATTAATTAGTTATAAACCAGACTCAAATTAAATGAATTTAACTATTCACAACTTATTCATTCATTAATCTAGGATATTCATGAATTCAATTAATTATGAATTGTTATAATGTATAAATCCGTGAACTTATTACTAAACACAACAAAAAGAGTCACTACTATGGGAAAACACTTATTTACAATTAGTTGTAATTTGTAATCTATACATTTATATTTGTATCTCTAGAGTTAAGCATTTTGTATCTTTAGAATTAAGGACAGAAAATTATGATAGATAATTCCTTAATTATAGGATCAATTTTAAGAAGATTTAATTTTCTAGCTTACCCACTAGTTGGTTGCATATAAACTTAAGGTGCTTGTATGATTTTTTTATGAGCAATTTTTTAATATACATTCAGTTTTACTCTTGGTTTTTAACAAAGTTTTATTTTTTAGTTCTTTCACATGATATTAAAGTTTTAGGCTCTTCTTGGGAAGAAAAATTTTTGAGCCTTCATTGTTAAATTCTATTTCAGGCTTTCATGGTCAAATCTTGTTAAATCTTTTAATCTTATTTTTTTCTTTCTTTGGCTTTCATTGCCTAGAATTGTCTTTGGTTAAACTTTTACTATCATGACATATTTCAATCCTGAGAAAGATAATCATGCCAGTGATAATAAAATCTGTCACTATTACTTGATTTGAGAAAGTGACAATTGGTAAAACCACCAGAGTATTACCGAAATCGTAGAACAAAGAGAGTTGGACAGATAAGAGATTGAGAAACCAAAAAGCCAATTAAGAACTCTTGAAAGCCTACTGACGTATGTTTTTTGGGTAAGATTTTTAGTTCAGGTAAAGCTTTTAATTCTTATGGATTAAATATCTCGGTTAAGCCTATTATGAGTTCTTGGGTCATTGACTTAGGAGCCACTGATCATATGATACATTCCTTACAGAACTTTAGTACATATACCTTATGTTTTAGTAATAAAAAAATTGTTGTTGCAAATGGTTCACTTACTATAATGGTAGGATTAGGAGATGTTTAAATTAATCCCTCTTTTGTTCTTAAAAATGTTCTTTATGTTCCTAGATTGTCTACTAAGTTGATATCTATACAAAACCTTACTAGAGACATAAAATACAGAGTGATTTTTTATCCCTTATATTATGAATTTTGAGACCAAAGTTTGGGAAAGAATATTGGACTTACTAAGAAGAATGATGGACTATACTATCTTGAGACATCAAATAACACAAGTAATATCAAGAATAGTTTACCTTTGTCATTTCTTTCTAAAAAATCTCTTAATAAAAATAAAATCTAGCTTTATCATTTTTGTCTTGGACATATTTCTTTTGAAACTTTTAAAAACATGTTTTCTTTTTTGTTCAAATGATTAAATGTTGAAATTTTCATTATGATGTTTGTGAATTTGCAAAACATATATGTGTGTCTTTTTTAGTTAGCAATAAAAGAAGTTTTACTCTTTTTTACTTGATGCATAGTGACATATAGGATCCCTATACAATTCTTAATAATTCTGGTGTAAGGTGGTTTTTTTTATAGATGATTTGACCAGAGTTTGTTGGATATTTTTACTTAAATCCAAATGAGAATATCGTGTTTTTAAAGTTTCAAAACATGATCCAAAATCAATTTGGAGTGAAAATCAAGAGATTTATATTTGATAATACAATAGACTATTTCAACCAGAGTTTATCTACCTATTTCCAAAATGAAAAAATTATTCACGAGCCATCTTATGTTAATACTCCATAGCAGAATAGAGTGACAGAGAAGAAAAATAGCCATTTACTAGCTACAACCAGAGTTTTACTTTTTCATTATCCAAATTCTAATGGGGAAAGCTATTTTCATTGCTATACACATTATAAATAAGTTATCTTTAAGGGTTTTAGGATTTAAAACTCTTATGAAACTATTCTTACAATTTTATTCCAACTTTAATATCATAAACAATCTCACTCCTAGGATATTGAATTGTATATAATTTGTTTATGTTTACAGTTATAATTGGGGAAAGTTAGATCCTAGAGTAATTAAGTACATTTTTGTAAGGTATTCATCAACTCAGAAAGAGTATAAGTGTTATTATCTTCTTACAAAAAAATTATGTGTTTACAAATATCACTTTTGAAGAAGTAAATCATTTTTTACTCAACCTTATCTTTAGGGGGAGACTTCATTCATGGAAGATAAGGATAAAAACTTCTTTTTACTTGACTTGTCTTTTTTTTTTTTCAATATTTTCACTTATTAATTTTTCTGAGTCGAAATTTATTTCTTTTAAGTTCAAATCAAACATTGAATTTGAGTCTGAACTCATTTCAAACACGAAAAATGTGATAAAGGATTATGTTGTTCTTGATTCTATGAAGGAATTACAGGTGTACTTAAGAAAAAAAATTTCAAATCATGAATTAGTGCAAGTCTAAAAACTTGATCCTAACTCTGAAAATGATATAAATATAATCTTTGAGTCTGTTTCTTAACATGAGCATGAATATTTTAAAACTATAATTAGTGATTATGATTTACCTATTGTTATTAGGAAATGAACTAGAGAATGTATTAAGCATTTAGTATATCCAATCTCTAATTTTGTATCATTTGAAAAATTCTCACTATCTCACAAAAATTTTCTTGTGAGTCTAAATACTATTTCTATTTCAACTATATTATCCGAGCCATTATCCAGTGAAAAATGAAGGCAAGCCATGAAAATATAAATGGAGGCATTAGAGAAAAATAAGATATGAGAACTAGTAGAGTTGCCCAAAGGAAAAAATTCAGTTGGGTGTAAATGGGTTTTCATTATAAAATACAAAGCAGATGATATTATGAAAAAGTATAAAGCCGGGTTAGTGGTTAATGGCTACACTAAAACTTATAGAGTGGATTATTAAAAAATTTTTGCTCTAGTTATCAAGATGAATATAGTTAGGATTTTGTTATCATTGGCTGCAAATTACAATTGGTAGCTTTAACAATTTGATGTAAAGAATGCATTCTACATGATGATTTGGAAGAAGAAATATATATGAAGGTTTCATCGAGATTTGGAGGTCATCTAGAAGTAAACAAAGTATGCAAGCTGAAAAAAACTTTATATCACTTTAAATAGCCTTATAGGCCTTGATTCAGGAGATTTGTCAAAGTGATGCTAGTAATGAGATATAAGCAAAGTCAAAGAGATCACACATTGTTTATCAAGCACTCTGATTCAAGGAGAGTCACAATTTTATTAGTGCATATTGATGATATAATTGTAACCGGAGATGATGAAAAAGAGAGAATATCTATAACAATGTTTGACTGGAGATTTTCAGATAAAAGAGTTAGAGAGATTGAAATTTTTTCTAGAAATTGAAGTAACTCACTCACGACATGATATTTTCATCTCACAACAGAAATATGTGATATATTTTTTTAAAAAAACTAGGAAGCTCACATGTAAACCTACAAATATCTCTAAAGAATCTAATTATAAACTTGAAAAGGCTAATGAAGATACTGCTGTAGATAGAAAATATACTAGAGATTAGTTAAAAGACTCATATATCTCCACATACTAGACCTAATATAGCATATGTTATGAGTGTGATAAGTCAATTTATGCATAATACTAAAAAATTCACCTATAAATTGTTTATTGTATACTACATTATTTAAAGGTAAATCCTAGGAGATGTATCTTCTTTAAAAGAAATTCAAAATTGGTTCTAGAGGCATATACAGATACAGATTATATAAGTTCAGTAACTAATAAAAGTTTACTTCATGCTACTACACTTTCTTAAGTGATAATCTTGTGACTTGAAAGAGTAAAAAATAGAATATGGTGGTAAGATCAAGTGTTTAAGTAGAGTTCAGAACTATGACTTAAGAAATTTATGAACTACTATGGTTAAAGATTATCCTAGAAGACTTGAAGATCAAGTGGGATAGATGTGATAACAAGTTTGCAATAAGCATTGTACACAATC